GCTTATACATCCTCTCTTTTTTCAAACCTTTTCTTTTGGCCAACACCAAAAGTTGCCAATACCCAAAATCCATTGGCCAAAACCCAGTCCAGCCCACTGCTGCACTCCCCTGCCAGCCCATGAGCGCATCCCACCGCTGTTTGCGCTAAACGAGCTTTGCATATTTACTGTACTAGCAGCAGACATTTTACGATATATTGAGAATTATTTGCAATATATTTTGCAACGGGCAACAGCAGCAGCAACAAGGACGACAAATGTTCCACCGACAGCAACAACAGCAATACCAGCAACAACAAGTGCAGTGTTCAGTGGAAATGCAGGCAGAGAAAGCTTCTAATTCCGGCACTGAAACCATAAGTCTTTGTCGCATTCTACACATACATAGACTCTGAACTCACACACAGATACTCACAAAAGAGGGACTGGCAGGCAGACATTGTGCGTCCTGGCATTTCAGCAACTACTCCACTCCGAGTTATTGGAGGTCCTGCAGGTCCTAGGCCTGGGATCGGGACTGGAACTCGGGACCATAACTCCAGTTCGATATTCGAAACTTATTTTTCTGTTTTTAAAGATTTTGTTTAATTTACGAAAATTTGCATAAGATACAATTGCACTTGCCCCTCCTTTGGATTCTTTTTCGGGTCTGAAGAGTCTGGGCCTTAGCAGTCTGTAAATTTGTGCGAAAATTGAGCCAAAGTTCAGATCCAGAAAAGGGAAAAGCAAAAGCCAGAGCCAGAGAGCAACAAACGTTTTTTTTTGTGCACATTTTATTGCCATGGCCTGGACTAAATTTGAATTCAGCTCAAATTGAAAGTTCACAAGCGCACACACACACCCATGTAGCAACATCCCCGACATACATATAGAGTGTATACAGTCCGGGACACACCGATATTTATGCCTTTTCGAATGCAGCTCAACTCAGCTTTAATTTAAATGGATTTCTCTGCCGGCGACCCTGGCAGACATATGGCAGCATTTGCAATTTTCCCCTCTCTCCTTGGGGGGGCGGACCCGGAGGAGGCAATGGATGGCGGCGGGTCAGTCTCCATGGGCCGGCACTTCCACCGGCCACTGTCCATTCTCCACTGACTGTTGAGGATTGATTGTGCTTGTTGATATTTTGTCAAATAACGCAAATAAATACACAATTACACACTCAAGTGAATCCGAGGCTGGACGAGGCTCGAGGGTAGGTAGTCCTTCAAGGCTGGGGGCGGAGGACGGAGGGCGGAGGCGGCCAGGAGTCATGGGGTTAAACCGAGCATGGACGTGCTCTCTGTGTGTTATCCTTGTTTAAAGGATTTTCATTTGTTTAAATGTGCTTTATCGAAAATGGCCAAAAGGCCGCTGGCCATTGTTGGTGTTGCCTCAACTTCTGGGTCCCATGTTGCCACAACAAATTTATTTTTAAGGCACAGTGGAAAGGCACAGACAGTTATTAATAGGTTAATTATAAAATTTATAATATATTAGAAAAATTTACAAAATTATCTAAAATTAAGAAAGCAAGATAGGCCTAATTTCTAGCTGACTAATCGAGCTCTTAAGCTCCCCTAGAATTGATAGTTCTACCAAAACCTCTAGTTTTATTATAAAAAATACTTTGATAAAAATAATATATTATTTATTTCAACCTCTTTGTAAATGACCCCACTATAACCCCAACTTGTGACTCGCCATCGCTTGTTTTTGCCTCCGGCGCTGTTTTGGTTGGGCTTTTTTTCGGCGCACGCCCGTAAATTCCAATGTAAAATGTTGCATTTATCTTGTAAAAATAATAAATCCTGGCAAAGGGACTTTACTCTCGCACGCTTGGCAGCCCAGCCCAGTAACAGATTGTGCCGCCCCATCGAAGGGATGCGATCGCAAATGGTTCGAGATGGGCCCAGATAATAGCACCGGGGAGTGGGTCGGATTTGGACATTGTTAATGGGCCAGATGGGTAAAGAGACGTAAATTTGCCTAATTTTATTAACCGTCAATCGAAGTGACTTGGAGTGGTGGTTGTGGCGAGTGATGGCTAAAAGGGTGAAAAGCCGGAAAAGTCCCGACAAAAAAATTAGTCAACACTCGGGCCATTAATTTATTTTTATTTATTGGCTGCCGGTTTCATTGGCGCGCATTTATTCCAATTCGAAAATCCTGAACTGCTCTGCGATAAATTTAGTTAAATGTGAAAATTGTGTTTCGGTTGCAGCTTCCACTGCACTCAGTTCACATACCAGCAGCACACACATGAACTTGCAGTGCGCACATGCACATGCCGAGGATTTTCATTATAAAATATTGGGCGGGCAGGCGACTGTCGCAAAAGAGTTTGCAATTTATTTAAAAATAAAAGTATCTAAAAGCATGACAAATAGTGTGAGATATGTTTTTGCGCACTGCAGCAGGCTGATGCCCTCCCCCTCCTCCCTCTCATCCATCCACTGCCACTCTGTCCCACCCTTCTGCGACATATGATGGGGCGCCGCTGATTTATTTGCATACAAAAGCGCAGCAGACAGAAAAAAAATCCCTCGCCCTGGTACCTCCCCTCGTCGCTTTTTCAAGCTACGCCCATTTTTGACGCCAACGAAGTCGCGTCGATTGAGTTGGCTGCCAACAGTCGGGGGGGATAAAAAAAAACAAGGGCCTTTGGGTGGCTGTGGAATGCCGTCAGAGTTCATGAAAAATACATTCAAAATCAAAAATCAAAATGGGAGTGAACTAAAATGAAAGTTGGCGGCTCGCTGTGTCACAGAACATATTTCAAAATGAGTTTCATTGCACCTGAAATTGTTATTCTTAATGGACATAACATTTCACAAGCCTTAGTAAGCAATTTTAAATGCATATTCAGCAAAAATGCCTATAAAAATAGAGTAAACGATTAACGATCAGGGGGATCCAAAATATGGCAAACTGGATGTCTATAACTTTGCCATGAAACATCATACTCCTAAAGGGAATACCTTAATAGATTTGTATTTTAATTCTTTTCCAATCTCCATCAAAACCTACAAAAAATTTTTGGATCCATTTTTTGTCGTATTTTTTAGGGAAGCTCCCTTAAAAACATGGTGGAGTGTTAGGGAACCAAATTAAGGCCCACGGGAATTCCATATCTTTCCCAATACTTATCCGATTCTTGAACGGAATACATTAAATGATTCCTAGATCGATTTTCCGTCAATCTGCATCAAAATCTAGGAACGAATTATTTTTTAGGTTTTTTGTCAAATTTTCTAAAGGGTCCCCTTCAAAATTTCGAAAATGTATGGAAGGAACTATATGAGCTTCACCGATGCCTATATCTTCGCCAAAATTGATCCGATTCTAGAGCGGAATACCTTGAAAGAATTGTGAATCGATTCTCCATCAATCTACGTCAAAATCTAGAAACAAATGATTTTTTAGATTTTTCGTCAAATTTTCTGGGGGGTCCCCTTCAAAATTTCGAAAATGTATGGAAGCGACTATATGAGCCACACCGATGCCTGTATCTTTGCCAATATTGATCCGATTCTTGAACGGAATACCTTGAAAGAATTGTGGATTGATTCTTCATCAATCTACGTCAAAATCTAGAAACAAATGATTTTTTAGATTTTTCGTCAAATTTTTTGGGGGGTCCCCTTCAAAATTTCGAAAATGTATGGAAGCGACTATATGAGCCACACCGATGCCTGTATCTTTGCCAATATTGATCTGATTCTTGAACGGAATACATTGAAAGAACTGTGGATTGATTCTCCATCAATCTGCATCAAAATCTTGAAACAAAATATTTTTTAGATTTTTTGTCAAATTTTCTGGAGGGTCCCCTTCCTCCTCTTTGTAAAATAAGGTGAAATAGGTACTGCGAATATGAATATTCTTCACAGAAAAGTGTCTATCCCTGTCAATATTTACCTTAAAATCCATTTAAACGGCTTTATCGTGTTAAACTAACAATATTTTAATGGATGAAGTGTAAGGAAAGACTACTCCACCTCAAGCTGCCACAAAATTTCCCGTATAATACCACCCACACCCACCAACATCCACACCACACCCACCTCCACCTGCGTTGTTTGTCTTTCGCTCAATTCATCATTTGGCAACATTTTGCAGCGCCAAGTTGCATTTAGTTGTTATTTATGCAAATTTTACATGCTTCAACTTTTCGCCAAGTGCGTCGTGTCGTTTCCGATTATTTAAAACTTTACTAGATTGCCGTGCCACGGGATAGCCCAGGTGAGATGAGGTGCGGGTGGAGCGGGACGGGACGTCTCCTTTTTAATGCGCACACCTGACGCGCTCCAGCCTCCAGTCCTCCGCCTCCTTCGGGGAACTCCTTGGGCCTGGAGGATTAGGGTCTGCTCCTCGTGCATAATTTTGTGCGCTGCTGTTGAGGCAAATAAATTCTTGAGACGGCTAAAGTTATTAGATTAGCATTAGAGCTCAGAGGGGAGAAGATGAGGAGGTGGGAGCTAGAAGGCATAGCAGTCCCTGGGATGAGCTTAGAATTATGATTTACTTCGGGTTATTTACATGCGCATAAACGAAATGCCTCAAGCTGCTCAAAATGCGAGAATTTATGAAAAACTTGGCTCAGTGCGTAGGGAGTCAGGTTGCTTTTATAGTTCCAGCCGCCAATTTAGACAATTTTTATTTTTTATGCTTTTTTTTAAACAAAAAAGTGGAAATTTTCATCCTCAAATAATGAAATATATACAATGCATTATATATTGTTATAACTTTATCTATTTATTTGTTAAATTTTATACAAAACTAACATTATTTAACTGCAATCAAATGTTACTTATTCCCTAACTTTAGTTATTATATTAGTTAACTAACTTATCTTATGTTTATCTTTTTAATACCCTATTTTAGCACCTTTATTTCCATTTAATTTATTCTTAGTTTATTATAGTTTTTTATTCAGTTTTTTTACTAACATCCACCCGAGGCATTTGTAGTCCCTGACCTTCATAACTAAACATCATCTTCTTTCTGATTTTCAGGTAAGAGATACTCAGAATCTCTTGCGGGCTCACTTCTACCAGACTGGCTAGGTAAGTCGATGTTCTTTTTGTATATTTTTTGTGTACCCTTAGCTTATAGTTTTCACCCATGATTTGTTTTGTATTTTTGTAATAAATCCCGATTTCAATTTTGACATTTTTGTATACGTTGCAAAGCCATTTTTAGTTTTTTTGATGAAACTTTTGAAACTCACTTCTGATTTTGTGATTGCCAAAGTCCCCCATTCCGAACCTCAGACAGATTTTTCGAAAACCACAAACACAAAACTCAACCCAGCCCCTTCCGCTCCACATCTCCAAGAATCTTTCCAACAAAAAAATAAATACAAACCAAAAAGACTCTTTTTGAATCGAGCTTCTTTGATTTTTGCGTTGATTTTTTTGCGTTTGGTTGTTGTTGCTGTTGTTGATGTTGCAACATCATCACATCATCATCATCTTGATCATCCCCGTTTGTCTTCATTTTGTGTCAGTCAAAGGAAGCGTCTCCTGCCAGAGTTCGAGAGGTAAAGCGAAAATTTTCAAATTCCAATAAATCTCTGTAAGTTTTGTGTTGTACGCCTATACTCCCTAGAACCCCAACTATACTCCTCTAGAATTTACTGAATGTCTGTATCTATGTACATACCAACTACGAACACAAATATCTCGGTGTCCTGTCATAGTTCAGCATGTGCATGTGCCCCAAAATACAAGCTGCCGGCCGGCCAGTAGCCGTTGGCCAAATAAATTTAACCACTCTGTACATATAATATGTGAAATTATCAGCTCATAAAATTTGCCAAAACAATTGCCAATTATTCAGTTTGTCAACTCGAACCCGACACTCACTCACTCACACACTCACTGATTTCCAACACATACACTTGAAAGGAAGGAAAGGGTTTTCCTTGGTGCGACTGGAGCAATTAAAGCCACCCACAGAAACCGCCCAGCCAGGAGGAAAAGTATCACTTGGCACGCAAAGAAAATCAGCGAGAAAATTGGTGATGCCTGGCTGCGAATTTTACAAAGCGTATCATTTTGTTAGCAGTTTTTCAGCAGGTTGCACTTGACAAGAATCGCCCCGGAGCACGCCAGTGCTCTGTACAGTGGAGCCGGGTACAGTGCTACCTCCTCCGCATACCCAATTAAACACACATTTCATTTACTCTGGTTCACCATGCCCGTTTAGGCACTCGAATCGCTGTTAATTTCTGTTTTTAGTTATGTTAACCAAACACTCGACAGACAACAAACATCCAAAGGGTCCTTGGGAAGGATATATGTATTCAATATATGTGCATGCTCTGCAGTTTTCTATATGTTTATGGGCAATTTATACAATCGAATAAATTACCAGGGCAAACATAAACAAAACTTCCTTCCACTGAGTGCCATTTGCCAATCGTAATCAATTCCTGTCTATAAAAAAAGGGACACAGAGTCCTGTCGCCAACATCGGTATCTGTAGCTCGTATCCCGTATCCGTATCCGCCCCTTGAGAACCACCCTACCAGCCCTCACCCACGCATAAATATTTATCTGAAATGTTGAAATCTTCAACTGTAGAAAACGTAAAATCCATTAGAAAATTAATAAAGTCTATGGCGGAAAATGTATTCCTACGAATGCGGTTTTCCACTCTGTTTTCCCCGCCTCCCGAATCCTTGTTGTTTTTTTTTCCTTTCCACCCATACCCATCCTTGGGCGGCTCATTTTTTGTCATATAGAGAAAATTTGTGGCTGTTTTTTGAGGGGAAAGTGTGTATTATGCCGACGCTAATAGAATAAAGTCCAATCGATTACAGTAATGTCTGGAAAATGTATCTGTCTGTTCCTTTTTTCCCGAGCTGGTAGCAATCCATTAGGCCAGTTAGGGGAGGGGCTAACCATTAAGTAATAAGTGATCTGGTTGTAATGAGACTTGTATCGAAAACAATACGATCAATCAGCGAAAAAGATAATGTATGCTTGGCCCACCTGGTACCTGGTTCACAGCTTTGGCATCAATTATTTCATAGATTTTCCTAAAAGATACATATTGATTTTTAATAACCCAACAAATATACACGAGATATGTAAATGGGCACCCTTGCTGTCTGGGGCTTTGATCGTTTTGTTGGCCAGATGTTTGCACACACTTTGGAGTTGGCTTCATTATCATTCGGGCGGGGTCTATTTATAATCAGCGCGGGAGAGGGGAGGGAGCCTGAGTGGAGCAAATGTCTCGACGAGATCGACGCGTCGGCGCCCCCCGGCTGCCACTCACGCACACACGGCGGCCCAGCGAATGGCACGCAATTCACAATAATAACATAATAATGTGCAATAAAGTATCTTAATTTGTTGAATTGTTGATAAACTTTGGCGCCACTTTGCGGATAAACATGAAACAAAGCAATTGGAAAACGCTCAGCCCAGCGATGAACTGTTCCATTTGCTCTATTTCGAATACGAGTATCTCTGAAATTGGCCAAGATATTCGGCAGGCCACACTCTATCAGTAGTGTAAAAGTTTTCCCTGGCAATTCCAATGCCATTTCCGGTATGTTCTAGTGCAATTATCAGTTCGCTTGACTCCGTGACATCGGCAGGTGAGTGTGGGGGTCAAGTAAACACACTCAGGTAGGGACAAATTCCAACTGCAGCAAGTTGAATTATCTGCAGCTCTCACACACACACGACGTGTGAGTGCATTTCCCTTTCTGGTCGTTGGCCGTGTCCTCTTAATTGGCCCAGCGAGAGAGACTTGGCAAATTAGTTAATTGGCGGCCAGCTCACTTTGAACCGCTGGTCGACGATGTATCTTACAGATGCAGAGATACAAAGGGAAATACGACTACAATTCCTAAGAGGAAATTAGCTCAGTTTAGTTTTCTTTTAAAATATATACACTACTTTTCAATAAATTTTATTTTATTATTTTTTTTTTAACAAAACTTTAAAAGCCACTCTCGCTAACCGGTTAATCCATCTTCTTGGGGCAAGGACATTCAAACATATAAAATTGGCAACCTTCCTTTTGTTTCTTTCAACAATCATCGTTTGAAAAAGCCGCATTCTAACCATAATAATAGCACTTAATATACTTCTTTCTTGTATGTGTATACTTTTTTCTCACACCGGTTATTTTTACTTTGTTTACCTTGTTCTTTCTTTTCTGGCTATAACCGAACTTTACTTTCCTTAAAAATAAACAAAGAACACTCTAATACTCATTATAATAATTAAAACACTTAAAAATATCAACTAAACTTGAACTCTTTGCATGATTTCTTAAGTAGAGAATTACAAAGTCGTTAAATAATCATAAAACTTGTTTAATTAATAATATTTTTTATGTGCCTTGCCATTGAGCTTCAGATTAATGATTTGTGGCTATTGTCTTTGAATAATAATTTTTGGAATTAACCGAGACAACAGTATTACCATTAATATGCCAAACGACTGCCATTCGATTCGCAGGCAATTAAAACAACACCCGGCCGTCAGGTGAACAACCAAATTCCAGTGCGGTATTTCGGTACGGTTTTTATCGATTTTTGGTAGCCATTAGATTTCGCACAGTTACCCATATTTTCCGCCATTTAGAAAACTCCCCCAAAAATGGTAGAGATCCGGGATGACACCCCACCCACTAGCCCGGCCTGGCCTGGCCTGAAGGCAATGTGGCAGCAGATATTTTTCTTGTTCTTTTGCCAGCTCAGCAGATGAATGCGTATAATTTTCGGTTTGATTTATGCGCGTTGACCCCGCTTTGGGCCACCTTAGTAGCACACATGGCCAAAACCCTCCCATTCCTTCGGGCAACCTCAGATTTGTTATGGCTTCGAGCAGAGAGCTACTGATGCTGTTACTTACACTGAGAAAAATTTCTATCTATCATAAGATGCTTTCAGGGGATATATTATATTTATTTAATATATATTCCTTGTAAAGATATTTAATTTCTCTCTCTGCTGATGCTCCTGCCTTTATCGCTCCAAATGCTAAACGCAGGCCATCCATTTCTGCCTCGGATTGTGGGGCGGGCTTTATTACATTAGGCGTTCGTAAAGTAAAAATTGTGCCACTTTCTCAAAAACACGCACAGCACAATAAGTGGGTGTGTACGGCCTTCCCGCTTTCCATTCAACCTGCTGCGGGAAACTGCCGAAAAAAAAGGCACCCGGAAAATGCCAGAAGGTGGCGACCGTTTTTGGGGGGCAGGACCCAAATGTGCTTGGCTGTTCGCTTTTGTTTGGGGCGCCCTGCTTTTGCTTACATAATCAGTCATGTTATCCTTGTTTCGCATGCCATACAAACACACATTAGGATACACAGGACGACACAGAGACATGGAAGAGAATTATTTATTTATGTCGCTGTCCTCAGGCAGATATCATTTTTATATTTCTATTGCGTGTGGACTTCTGAAAGGGTTAAGAGGGGAGCTGGCTCAAAAATCGGCCAACAAATGCGCATATTTTGTAGAACATGTTTTCAAAATGATTATATTATTTGGAGGTTTTTAACCTTAAAGATGATATGACAAAATCAATGTGGTTAAAGGTAAAGTATTTTCAAAATATAACAGAGCCAATCAACCCTTTAAAAGGGGTGGCCAAACCCTTAGTACTTTGATGGTATATCCGTCTTCTTCTATCATATGGCACACTTTTAAGGATATCTTATAAAGATCTTTATCTTGAGAAATAATACTAATATTTATTTTAATTTATTTAATATTTATGTATATCTTAGACCTTATTTTTCTTTCGGTTGTATCCCCATTTACTGCCACTCTCACGCATCCTGGCCCTGTTGGCTCTCTTATTTCCATTCCCCTGACTTTGCTTTTGGCCAGAAAACAACAATAACAAAAACCTGAAACTACATAACTGTGTTTTTGGCTTTCCGCACCGAATTCCTTTTGCCATTGATAAATGGCTTTCTACTCGGAGTTTGTTGATTTTATTGCTCTCCGGGTCTCCTGGTATCCTGGCTTCCCGAATTTCCGAATTTCTGCCCTGCTCAGCTCAGCTCTCGCGCTTTCAGCCACGTTTGTC